AATTCAATGCTTCATAGTAGAAATGTGCCACACTTAAGCTTTGTGTGGCATGAAATTCTATTAAAAGAGCTTGTAATTCAACAACCACAAAAGGAATGAACTAGTGATACATACTATAACATAGAAGACTCCAAAATAATTGTGTTCAATTAAAAAAGCCGCCTCTGGAAAAAGTACACACTACATGACATCATTTATCTAACTCTAGAAAATACAACTGATTTTTGACATCAGAAGATAGGTTAGAAGTGGCCTGCACAGGGCAGAGATAAAGGGAACGGATACAAAGGAGAAGCAGGACCTACAGAGTGAGACAGCAGCACCGGACAGTGACAGGAACTAGGGAACCAGGACAGACCATGTCAGCAAGAAAGGTGGAAGAACTTCAGAAATCATAAGACAGCGACAAGGTGGCTGAAAAGAACAAGAAATGAAAGAGTAAGAGTGGAAAGGGGTAGTGTGGGCACAAGGGGACCAGAATTCTCACCAATAGGTGAGGTGAGCCAGGACAAGTGCACAGACCTACAAGCCCTAACCCCAGATGAGTGATGTGGTGTAGGGTGATGCCCTCTGTGGGACAGATCAACATTGTGGTCCTTGGCCTTGAACCCACAACCTTGAACATCGGAGGCAAGTACTCTGAATACTGAGGTATACACACTTAGCCTTCAAAAAAAAGTTCTTAAAATTTATCTTTCCAAGACAGATACTAACATATTTATAGATTACTTGTGATTTAGGCTTGTGATTTAGGACTCTTGATTCCAATCATATCAAAAGAGACATGGACAGGAATTTAAACAAAATGATATCCCTAAATGGGTCATTTTTAAAGTGAATGATGAGAATATTTTATCTTATCTAATATTGTATACATTAGAAATTTTTATAATGAAAACAACAGCAACTCAATTTACTTTGTGTTTTCTATGTATGCAGACATAAGTATCTTAACTACTCAACTTATTCATAGTATGTCTATTCAGAACTTCAATTTTCTCAAGTCAATTCTGTTTGCATTTCTAGTACACAAACTTTGTACATCAAACAGGTCTGTACCTCAAGCACATTAAAAACTGCTAACTTATTAATAGTATCCTCTCAAATTATGATCCATGCCTATCCCTGCCATAGGCACTCTTGTGCCATTCTGAGCATAGCACGTTCTCAAATTCTGACTTACCCCTTCACCTAGAAAATGTCCCCACTCCTGGAAAAGAATGCCGATAGGCCATGGGCCCGACAAACTCTTCCCAAGAGCACTGATTCTGTCACCTCCAGAGAACTTCCCCAGCCAACTGCAGCTTACTACTCCATTCTCCCCAGTACTTACACTCACAGCTTCATTTTACCCTTTTTCTCTATTTTATTGTAATTTCTATGAGCATTTTTGTCTCATGTTTTTGCAAGTGTTTTGCCTGCATGTATGTCTGTAAGAGGGTGTAAGATCCCCTGGAACTGGAGTTACAAAGAGTTGTAAGCTGCCCTGAGGGGCCAGCAGTCAGTGCTCTTAACCACTGAGCCGTTACTGCAGACAAGAACTTAACTGTTATCTTTAAACTCCCAGAGCAGGAACCTATTTGTTAAGTATGTAAACATGTTATCTATGCTGCCTAAATCAGCTTTCACTTGGCCTCCATATGCAATCTCATATGAGAAACACACTGAAGAATTTCTACACACCTCCATCTAGACTTGAGAGAAAGAAAGCTTCAGCGGGAGTGAATGGCATCCAATCGAGACTCATTTCACATTGCTTCAAAAAATACTGTAGAGTGTTCAAGTGAAGATCATGTCCCCTCATTGTTAACAGAACCAAAACAAGAATGCTACATGCTAGAGATCAAACATAAAAGCTGAAAACCACTGTGTGTACATGCATGTTCACATGTGTGTGCATGTGGATATAAATATTCACATACACAGGTATGTGTATACATGAGGAAGTGTATATGCATTCAGGTGCACATGTACATATGTCTATAGAGACCAGAGGTAATCTTTGGTGTTATTCCATGAGTCTGTCCAACTTGTTCTTGCCACCCATTTCTCAACCTGGAGCTTGTCAGTCTGGCCAGGCTGGATGCCCAGCAAGCCCCTAGAGTACACCTGTCTCTGCCTCCCTGGTGCTGGGATTACAAGCACATACCACCACATCTGACTTTGTACATGCTTACGGCTAGGCACTACCAACTGAGCCATAAGAGTTCAAATTTTTAATGAAGAATTTCCATTTGATTTCCTATACAGTTGCATTTTTATCTATTTGTATTTAAAACAGACATGCATACTGCAAAATACTCAGGAAGGTCCAAAGTAGAGAGTGAATGGTTTCCCTCAGGGCCAGAGGGCAAGCACTGTGTGCCTGGGGAGCTTTCATTTCCTACTTTCTAAATGTTTCTGCATCATCCTTCTTAGGAAAAGAATAGAATATATGATCTGTTACTTAGAAAACATGGTGGAAGCTTAAAAGCTGTATTCTGTGTAATACTGGTTAGGAAAAAGCTTAATTATGACATTATTTGAATATTGTTCTTACCAGATTTAAGACCTGATATTTTGAAGATGGCACTTGGCTTCCCATTCGTGACAAATCCCAGGAGCTGCCATACTGGCACCCCATTTGAGTCAGGATAGGAAAAGTAGACAGATCCTCCCATCCCCTCAGGAAATGGAACTGTTCCCAGCATAAAAACCACAACATGGTTGATATTTTCATAATCGGGCAAGTCAAAAACAAATTTATCCTCGGCCACTTGCTGTGCAGCTGTTTGCACCTAGAAAATAAGAAACCAGTCTTAGTTTGAGAATGCGATGGGTTACTCTAACCTTTAGGACTGCCACTGTCACCTGCAGCTAGTCTACTATTCTAATCACAAAACCACCAAATAAATACACCAAAAACTAGAATCCCAAACCGGATAGTCAGCCTTAAAATACTCACTTAATGAATGTAATCTTTTCAAAATACTGCTACATTCGCTCAGACATTCCCTAATGGATTTTTACTTACAAAATAAATAGCTATGATTATAACAAGAACATTCTAAGAATGAGCACATGGTGGCACATGCCTGTTATCCCGGGACTTGAGGGGTCATTCCCAGCTACATAGCTAGTTTGAGGCCGCCTGGGTTACATGAGACTCTGTCTCAAATACGAAACCCTTGTAAAAATGAAAGCGTGTTCAAGTTAACATTACGAGGCTTTTATTCTCAATCTGAAGGACAGAGGGTCAGGTAGTTAAAATGGGTACTGAATTATTCTCAGATTCTGGATTAGCAAATTCAACCACTAAAACTGATTTACAACCCAAAGCCAAGGCTTGTATGGTTTCTCCAGTCACTCACCAACACTCGCAGGGGCAGAACACAACAAAACACTTTTAAATTACCTTGTGAAAAACATGTCCAGCTAAAATGGAACAAGGCTGTGTGGCGCCTTCTTGTTCCAGCATCCATGTTGTGACAAATGTCCTTTTTGCAACCTATTTAGTGCCATGTTTGCCACTTTGTGCTTTTGTTTTGTGATTTTTGAAACTTAAAATGGTCTCACTTTATAAGGTGCTTCCAGTGTGTCTACTGCAAGAAGACTATGAAATGCCCCCATGGAAAAATGCATTGTTGTACTTTTCTTCAGCAAGGAGCTATAATGTGTTAGGCCAATCAACAATGATGTATGTCTGTTGGAAACAGAATATTGCTATGTAACCATGGCTGACCTAGTACTGGCTTATGTAAATCTCCCACACCCCTCCTGCTAGCCTAGAACTCATAGTAACTCTCCTGCCTGAAGTACTGAGATTACGTTGTATACCATCTCTCCTGGCTAAATTGCGTTTAAATACATATCTTTTTAAACACAAATGCATATGAAACAAAAGTAATGGCACGATTTTTTTTTTTTTTTTAATGCTGAAACCAAAGGTTCTCAGGAACCTAATCCTGCTGTCCAACTAGTTGCAAAGATTAACATTTGCCATTTGAGGGAAGTTAATTTATGGAAAGAACAAGTGGTGGTTAACCATGCGTGGTGGCACAGACATCTGAGAAGTAGAGACAGGACAATCAGATCATGGCCAAACCTTGGAAGCACAGCAACACAGCAACAGAGCAAGTTGGAAGCCATCCTGGGCTAAATGAGATCCTGAGGGTTGGGGGCTGGTTATACATAAAATTCTTTGTTAATACTAATATTGCTATATCCATATGCATCGTGAAAAAGAAATAGCAATTCTGAGAGGACCCAGGTATTTTAGCTTACACAGGGTTGAGGTTTTGTTTTATTTTTTGTTTCTGGTTTTTTTTTTTATTGTAATTGCTATTTAACAAAACAACAAATCTGCATCACTACAATTATTCTGAAGACTAAACACTGACTTATTTATTTGTCTGTTTGTTTATTTACTTATTGAGGCAGGGTTTCTCTGAATAGTCCTGACTGTCTTGGAAATCACTAGGTAGAATAGGCCTGCCTCTGCCTGAAGGCTGGGATTAAAGGCTTGTGCTACCATGACCCGCCTAACCCAAATACTGAATTCTTAAAACCTGATGCAACTAATTTTCTGTGCCCAGTATTTGCTGCTACTTAAATGCTTACTTTTTGTTTTCTATAATTTTCTATCCTACCAATCCAAAAAACCTTGAAAATCAAATTACTACTTAACTCCATCTATAAAGTAGTATAACATTCATTCTTAAACTAAATCCCAAGATATCAAGGCTGAGTGTCAGGATCTCAAGCAGGCCCCAGCAGCCTCCAATTCCTTATATAACAGAAGATGACCTTCAATCCTAATTAATGCTCTGCCTCCCAAGTGTCAGGATTACAGGTATATGCCACTATACTCAACTGGGGCTGAGTGTTTTAAGGTCAAGCTATGATTCCCTTTTATGAAATTTACTGACCCAACTTAAAATTTTCCACCATAAAAACGTAAAATTTAAAGCAAAAAATATAAACAAAGCCTTCCTGTAGGACTAAATTCAACTTCACCAAGTTTTAGCACATATATTTCTTGGAAGGCATGAGAAACTATGGTATTCACAAGTCTTGAAATAACCATAAGGCAAAATAAGGATTTGTTTCAACTTTTATTGCACAGGCAAGAGACATTCTGTAAATTTGTACCTATATTCCAATCTCCTTTTCTAAGAAAGGATTCTATGCATGTGACCCAAGTTGGCCTCGAGTGAGCTATGTAGTGAAGACCAGCCTCAAACTCCTTGGTCTTCTGGCCTCAAACTCCTTGGTCTTCTGTTTCCATCTCCCAAGTGCTAGGATGATTACAGTGATGTGCCACCACATCCAACTAGACACTCTAATACCTGACCTTAGTTAAACCAAGCAAACAGGAAAAACGGAGTAGGGGAATCTTTGGGTACTTTTCTCCTTAAAGAAAAAACCTCCAGCCTGGTCTACAAAGTGAGTTCCGGGAAAGGCGCAAAACTACATAGGGAAACCCTGCCTCAAAAAAAAAACCAAAAAGAAAAAAAGAAAAAACCTCACAGCTGTTTGTGGTGGTGAAAGCTTTTTATTCCAGCACTGAGGAGGAAGAGAGAGGTAGAACTCTGAGTTTGAGGCTAGCATGTTCTACAGAGCAACTTCCAAGACAGCCAGGGCCACACAGAGAAATCCGTCTCAAGTAAAAAGAGAAAAAAAAAAAAAACCTCAATTAATGAAAATTAGGTTCATACGTTTGAATAGGTGAATTTTCTGGCAAGAGAAGAATGTAGCTAAGTTCTGAGCTGTTAGTAGGTCTATTTGTTGGGGTTGGGGATTTAGCTCAGTAGTAGAGCGCTTGCCTAGCAAGCACAAGGCCCTGGGTTCCATCCTCAGCTCCAGGGAAAAAGAAAAAGAAAAAAAAAGTAGGTCTATTTGTTCTGCATTTTCATTTATGTCTATTGATACACAATTTCAAGCCAAACATCACCCAAAAAAATCTTAAGAAATACCTACTGGATATTTATTATATAAATTTGATGTTGGGCAAATAAAGCAGAGAGAACTCTAAATTCTCTTCCAGATTAGTCCACAACATGACACACAGATTCCACACAGGATTTGGTTTGTTTTTTAATTCTTTTAAAAACGTAATTTTTGCTGTTTTGCTTTCGTGGTGTGTGGTGCTGAGGTTTGAACCCAGTCTTGGGCTTATTAAACAAGAATTCTGAGCCAGGTGTGGAGGCACACTCTTTTAACCCCAGCATTTTGGGAGAGGAAGGCTGATTTCTGAATTCAAGGCTAGCCTGGTCTATGAGGTGAGTTCCAGGTCCATCAGGGCTACACAAAAAAAGCCCTGTCTCAAATAATAATAATAATAATTCTACCACCAACACCCTTTTTGTAATTTTTTTTTTTTTTTTTTTTTTTGAGACAGGATTTCTCTGTGTAGCCCTGGCTGTTCTGGAACTCACTGTGCAGATCAGGCTGGCCTGCCTGGCCTTTAACTCAAGAGATCTGCCTGCCTCTGCCTCCCTCCTGCCACCACTGCCCAATTCCAACACCCGATCCCCCACCCCACCCCACCCCACCCTTTTTTTTGAGACAGGAGTCCTGCAACTGTGACCCTCCTCCCTCGCCTTTTGAATAGCTGGGATTACACCAGGCTGGGCTTTGTTAATGACAGACATCTGAGTCCCACACTCATCTCAAACTGTTTCTTTCATCTTCCAATTCCAGAGCTGGGACATTCCAAAAGTAGATCACTAGTGCTACCACTACCCCACCTCCACAGGGGCCTCCCATTAGAGGTAGACAGAAACCAAGCTTTCTGACGCTGGTAAGTCCGTGGACCACGTGGTGCCGTAAGAGCCGTGTGTACGGAATACATTATCAAAAGCTAGTGAAAAGGGATTGGGAGCAGTAGAGAGCTTGCCTACCACGCGTGTGGCACAATTTAACAAAGAGGCTGCACAATTTAACAAAGCAGGGAGAAACAAAGCAAAGAAAGAGCTCTGAAGGTAAAGGAGTCAAGTCTCAAGACGGAAATACAGATGGTTTCTAACAAATCAGACTCCAGACTCCCTCTGGATTATTCCCCAACAATTCCAGGCACTCATTTCATTTCATTCTAACGCTCTGGAAAAGCAAGTGCATCCCTTTGACCAATAAGGAAGCATTTCACTCGAATCCTTCTCTAGTTACCACTAGAGAAGGCTCACACTTAAATTTCAGTCATTCCTACTAGTCAGCTTCCAATTATTTTAAGCACAAATGTACACAGGGTGGAAAATTTTAAATTGGGTCAGTAAGCTTCAGAAAAGGAACCTTCCAAATACACTCAACAGACACTCACTGCCCGGGCAACTTAAAAAATCTCTGGAAATCACTTAGCTTTAGATTACAAATCTCAGCTTTACTTCTAAGTTGGCATTATCAATGTAAGCGACTATTTACACCATCTCTTGAGTGTAAGTTCTTGAACTGCAAAGAGAGAATGACTATCTCAGGAGTTAGCACGGTTACGGCGAAATGCCGAAATAAACGCCACACAGAAGGCTGAAAGAACGAGGTATTGGAGCAAAATGCGCACTCGATAATACGCGGGGATATCCTGACAACCATTCAAGCACGTCCAAGGCTTGGGCAAGCGTCCCACTCCCCATCGCACACGCCCACGCCAAAAAAAAAAAAAAAAAAAGGCGACTGGGTTTCCTCGCGCTCCTGCTCCTGGCCCCGTGCACCGTGCCACCACCCGGCTCTGTCACCGACCCCTTCCTGCCACCGCCCGAGCCATCCTCACCAGCCTCCCCGCCACCAGGCAGCCAAACATGGCAGCGCCCTCGGCGCCTCTGCTCCGCCAGCGGGCGCCTCGGGCCGGAGACCAGGAATTCCGCAGCCACTCTCCTAAGTGAACTCAAGAACCTTCCAGAATTTGCAGGAGGGAACGTGTCCCTCCACTACATAGCAACACGGGAACGCATTCTGGCCCGGCGACCTCTGACCCTCCCTCCCTAACCTGCACGCCTCTCAGGGAGTAGTACTTCCGGGTCTTGCACCCATTTCCTCCTTCTAAGGGAGTAAGGAGGAGCCGGCATCGCTCCAAGACTACAAATCCCATAGTGCCACGCGCCGACCTCCGGGGAGGTGAGCCCGGAGAATTTGAATGTCAGTACGTGATTTCCGTGCTTGTGTGAGTCCAAATTTCTAAATACGGTGCTGAAAGAAGACGTTTGTGAGGTTTGTGTAACATTTTAGGAGTAGCAGTGCGCCTTTACCAGAATCGCTTCACGCAGCCTGTTTCCTACAAAAGCCTTACGGGGTAAATATTATCTCCATTTCATACGAGTGGGAAATTGAAGTTCAGCGTGACCAGCCCTGAAACCTGACAAAAGTGTTGAATCTTGGAGCGTAAATTCAAGTTGTCATCCAATTCCAGCGTTCTTTCTGCCAAACACTATCTCAGAAATGCTTCTGTATTCTTTTATAATTTATTTTTTTTTATTTCATGTGCACTCTTGTTTTGCCTGCAGGTACGTCTGTGTGAAGGCTTTGGATTCCTTGGAAATTGCAGGCAGTTATGATAGCTGCCATGTGGGTGCTGGGAATTGAGCCCGGGGCCCTGTGGGAGAACAGCCATGCTCTTAATTGCTGAGCCATCTGTCCAGCGCTTCCGTATTTTTATCTGATTCTTTTTATGGCATGGAGTTTTTATATAGGTCAGGTTGACCTCGAACTCGTGAACCTCCTTCCTCCTGGGCCCATGAAGGACCAGAAGTACTAATTTTAACAAGTAGTTGTGTTTTTTTCTTGTTTATATTCCTTTTTTTCCTCCTTCCCACTAATAAGCCGTACAACTGTGGGCAAGCTATATAACAGCTTCTTCAATGGCTCATTGACAAAATGAGAACAGTGTGCTTATATTTCAGGGTTGTTATGAGGATTAAATGATATATATATGGTTTTTTGTTTTGTTTTGTTATTAAAGACAGGGCTTCTCTGTGTAGCTTTGGAGCCTGTCCTGAATCTCCCTCTGTAGACCAGGCTGGCCTCGAACTCACAGAGATCCACCTGGCTCTGCCTCGTTAGTGCTGGGATCAAAGGCATAGGCCACCACCGCCCCGGCTGATTAAATGATAATTTAATTGATAACTGCCACTGAGAATAATAGCATCTGGTGGTGCTTAATTGGTGGATTGGTGGGAGTTTTATTGTAAAATGCCTTTTTTGTTTTTTTTTTTTTTGAGATAAGTTTTGTGTAGTGTAGACTGGCCTGGAGCTTGGCCATGTAGTCAAGGATGATCTTGAACTTTTCTCTTTCCTACACTTCTCAAGTGCTAGAATTACAAACATGAGCACCATACCTCGCTTAAATCCCCCCCCCTTTTTGATATGCATTTCCATAAAAGGCTCATAGGAAATACAAAACTATCTAAAAGAAGTAGCATCGAGGATTAACTGTTCGGTTGGAGCCTCCAGCTCTCCTCTGCATGGTCCAGGAAGCCCTATTCCTGTCTCTCTCCAAACCCCCCCACACACTCAGAGAGTCTCCTAACGAAGGAAAGGCAGTGCCAAAAAGCCCAGTTATGCATTCTTGGTGGCTATTGCAGCTTCCTCCCCTGAAGTTGCCAGCTGCCCAGGTCCCCACCTAAGCGCTCAACCTTTGACCATACTTGGGCACAAACCCAGCTTGTGGCAGGCACATCATCATCACCCCTCGCCTACAATCTATAAAGCCTCCCTGCCTTAGCTCAGGCATATGACTTCTCTTGCCTCGTCCTCTGAGACCAGTGAACCCACCTGGGAGTTGCTTTTTCTCAGGAAACCTGCTGTTAAACTTTTCCAGTTTGGCTTGATCTGGCTTACTGCATTGGCAGAGAAACCTATTATCCACTGCCACTGATACTCTCTCTTCTCAGCTTTAATGCCTGTGCCTTTTGCATAGGAAGGAAGGATTGGGGTGCACCATGTAGTGCCATCAGCTGAAGAAAGAAGGCACTCCAAGATGAAATTTAAGGCCCATGTGGCAGCAGGAGGGTCCAGCCTCTGATGGACTAAACCCCAAACAGCCATACAAAAGTGTATTTATTGATTGTTACACAAAGTATTTCCTCACACCAAGGTCCCTAATCTAATTTACATGTCTTACTAAAGGAGAACATCACATACCCTCATAACTCCAGTCTTTTATTATATAACATTGGCAATATAAAATAATACAAGAGCTTCAGGTATGCCTGAGGCATCTTGTGACCAGTCATGGGATGGTTACAATGCCCCTTCAGTAAAACAGTTCTACAAATCATGGAAAACAATCAGTTTTCCACAAGGATTTTTCCAGGTCAAAGTACTTCTGAAAAACAGTTGTTCATTCCAATATCTACCCTAGATACAGTGACTGCTAAATCCCTTAGAAAAAACTAATGTTATGGAGTGCTTTCCTTTTTTTGTTTGGTTTTGGTCCTTTTTTGTTGTTTCGTTTGTTTGTTTTTCAAGACAGGGTTTCTGTGTGTAGCCCTGGCTGTCCTGGAACTCACGCTGTAGACCAGGCTGCCCTTGAACTCAGAGCTCAACCTGCCTCTGCTTCCCAAGTACTAGGATCAAAGGTGTGCACCACCACCTCCCAGTGTTTAGTTCTTTCATAATCTATATTTACTTTATAATGTTTCCTTCACTATGGAAAGTATTGCTAAGTATTTATATATATGTATAAATATATATAAATATATAACATGACATTCATAAATGAATATTGACATTCATTTCCTCCCCAGTCCTTCTGTTGGGGATACAGAGATTAAACCTAGCCCCTCCCCGCCCTCCCTCCCAAGTACTCTACCACTGGCCTCTATCCCTGGGACATTAAAAAAAATTTTTTTTTAAATTTAAGCAAGTGTCTACATTGTCACAACTGGCATTACATTCAGGACTTCCCTGTACCATGCTTTTTTCTTTTGGGCCACCAACCAGCTCCGAAATCATGACACGGAAGCTTATTAGTTATGAACGCTCGGCCTTATTTTAATGTTTCTCAAGGACTCTTTACCTTTCTTTCTTTCATCTTACTTTCCTGCTGTCTCTATGTCTGGCTGACTGGCAGCTGCCTGGCTTCTAGCTCTGGACATATCCCTCTCTCTCTCCTCCTCTTCTTTCTGGTTCTTCCTTCGTTCTTAGATTCCTGCTCCTACTTATTCTCTCTGCCCGCCAGCCCTGCCTGTCCCTCTCCTGCCTGGTTATTGGCCATTGAGCTTTTTATTAGACCAATTAGGTCGCTTAGGCAGGCAAGGTGAAACAGATGCAACACATCTTTATGTAATTAAACAAATGCAACATAAACAAAAGTAACACACCTTTTCACAGTTAAAGTAATGTTCGTCAGCATAAACAAATGTAACACATCTTTGCCTAGTTAAAGTAATATTCCACAACACTTCCCTTTTAGACTTTGGGGCTGTTTAACGTTGTGTGTAGCTTTATAAACTTGCAGTTTAACAGAGTACTACCGTACACCAAAAGAAAAGAGCATAAGGCCTTTTTTGAGCTCTGACTTAACAACTGTGTAGATCACACCTGTCTGAGGCCCTGTGCCTCCCTGTTCCTCAGAAAGGGCCTATGTCTTGTTTAACACTGCTGTCACTATCAATGGGACATGTGTGGTGAGACAGGAGATAACAACTTAGCTGTTTCCTGCCCTCCATCGGTATATGGCACTCCTAGATCCCCAAACACACAGAAATGCCAATGGACCCATAACGTAGAATTCAGCAAGGTTCCAGACAAGTGCTTGGGAAACAACTTACATATACAACAGGGGAGGCAGAGGTGCTGACAGTCCCAGGAGGCCATGCTCTCAGTTAAAAACAGAACTTACTTTGAACACACGTAACAGCATTTTTCACTAGTGTAGACTGTTAATCAACCATTAACGTAATCGAATTACTTCTAGGGAGTGGTGTTTCTACTGTACTGGAGGAACAAAATATACAAACACGTGTACAGACCACAAAATAGCACTTGTTTAATTTCTGTGACTTTCATGAGCTAAGTACTCATATGTTTGCATGCATAGTACAATATGAGGGCTAATACTAAACTGCATACTAATTACAGAACATCTTAACTTTACCTGAATGGCACTAAAAAGCATTTTTAAAAAAACTGGAAAGAGAGCTTTTTGTCTAGAACCTGGTATTGCCTTTTGTGTCACTGTGACAAAGTAGCTGACGGCAGTTTGAGGGGCTGCAGTCTGTCGTGGTGGGAACGGAGTGGTAGCAGGGACAGGAGATGGCTGGTCTCACTGTTTCAGTGAACACAATGAATGCTGCTGTTTGGTCCACTTCTTTTATGCAGTTCAGGACCCTTGTAATGGTGCCACACGCTTAGGATTGGTTTTTGGAACTCTGTAAATCTAATCTAAATAACCCCTCACAGACAGGCCCCGAGATTGGTTTCTTTGGTGACTCTTGGCCCTGTCAAGTTGACATTAGTTCCTGTTGTAATCTTACATTCACCTTTTTAAACAGGAGCTTGCATTTTCATTTGTACCCTACAAATTTTGTAGCTGATCCTGTCTTCAGGGCGAGAAATAGGTCTGGTAGTGTTCTGCTCCTTTTACTTTTTCTGTTTCTTTCATAAATGAACTGGATATGGAGTCCATGCAGATCAGGCGCTCTAGGAAGACTGAATCACAGGTCAGAATCTTACTGTATTCCTTATCCTCAAATAGCACTTGTCCTCATGTCCTTCGTGCCCTTGGGAGAGAGCACATGCTTTTGGCTTCAAATGGCATTAGCAATGTAGAGATGCTTGAAACTCTGCCAGTTGGTCTTATCTACTTTTGAGATGCCCAGGTTAATCGCCTATATACTTCCAAAAGTTCTGTGACTAAGTTGGGTGTGGTGGCATTCACCCATATTCTCAACATGAAGGAGGCTGAGGCAAGAGTGTTTGAGGGCAAGTTCAGGCTACACAGACTGTGAAAAAACAAAAGAAAAAAAGTTTAGGGGTGGGATATGTTCCTTGGGGCCAATGAGACGGTTCAGGGGGATAAGGCCCTTGCCAGAAAGCCTGATGATAATCTGAGTTCAGTCCCCAGGAGCTATTATGGTAGGAGAGAACCAGTCCCACAAGTTGGCATCTGACCTCCGCACGGGCATCGGGGCATGCACATACCCACACACTTGTCCACAACACAAATGAATGTAATTTTTAAAAAGGTACATTCACTGTTGAAGGTGTAATCCAGGAAAGAAATGGGCTCCTTGTTGTATAGTTAAACGTAGAACTCAAAGGTTACTATATCATCTGTATACTTAACTTATTATATCATCAGCCTCTCAACTACTGAACTGTATACCTATCCAAGAAGAAGGAGTTTAGATCAAGTTATACTCTACGACATGCTATAGTTTGGAGTGAAGCTCTTGAGGGTAGTAGAGACAAGTCAATCGGCCCATCAGTGACTGTGACTGCAATGAGGGGACAGTGCCAAAGCCACCCATTTATCCTAGATCCGTCATACACAACCCTACACATTCTTAGGTGTTCCTTCAAGTATTGCAGTTGTTCTCAACCTGTGGGTTGCAACCCTCAAACCAATGGAAAACATATTTACATTATGATTCATAACAGTAGCAAAATTACAATTATGAAGGCCAGGCGGTGGTGGCACACGCCTTTAATCCCAGCACTTGGGAGGCAGAGCCAGGAGGATCTCTGTGAGTTCCAGGCCAGCCTGGGCTACCAAGTGAGTTCCAGGAAAGGCGCAAAGCTACACAGAGAAACCCTGTCTCAAAAAACTAAAAAAATAAAAAAAAAAAATTACAATTATGAACTAGCAGCGAAATAACTTTATGATTAAGAATCACCACAACATGAGGAACTAAATGTATTAAAGGGCTGCAGCACTGAAGTATTGCCCTTTTTTTCCTCGGTCTCCAGATAAACGTAGTAATAGACCTTTTCATTTTATCCTCTATGTTCCTTTTCTCCATTTTGATGCTTAGGGCCATATTCTAGGTGATTTCTTAGGATATGCAGTCTACTAGGCCTTCCACTATCTTTTTTACTTCTATATATTTTCATCTCTAAAAGTTGTTTTCATCATCTCCCCCAAGGTCAATCTCCGTAGTCATACTACTTACTTTTGTGATCTCATTTCATTCTTTCAGTAAATATTGGTGCTCGCCCTGTGTGCAAGGCACTGTTCTAGTTGCTGGAGTTAAACTGGTGAAATAAAACAAAACCCACCCAGACATACAACACAATGAGAAATTATCAAGCTTAATTAAAAAAAAAAAAAAGCTTTCTTGTGTCTATGCACAATAGAGGAGTATGAGCACATTTGAAGGCCAAAGGACAACTCTTGAGTTGATTCCCTTCTCACCACGGACTCCAGAAGTGGGGCTTGGGTTATCAAGCTTGTACAGCAAACTCACTGAGCCATCTTGCCTGCCCTCAAGTAGTATTTGCAGCATAGTATGTACTAACAAATGGAAGCTGAGAGCTCAAAGGAGAAAGTACAGAGATGGGAGAGGTGTGGTGGACTTCTTTTTGAGACAGAATCTTGTGATATTATCTCAGCTGGTCTCAAACTCATGGTTCTCCAGCCGGTTTTGCCAGGTGCTAGAAAAGTGGGATTTTAAATAGGCTGGCTGTTTTGCGTCCTCTGAAAATTCTAGTTAACTCAAGGCTTGGGGATCTGATGTTTCAGCTCAATACAGAGCTTGCTTCACTGTCTGCAAAGCTTTGGATGTGAACTATTTGGTTGACCTAAATCTTCGGCAAACTTAGCTTTTTGTGTTAGTGAATTTGAAGGGGTTATCAAACATGGCTTCTGGAGGCTCAGCATGGTGTTACAAATCTTTTTTCTTTTTAAATGTACATTAACCATTACAGGCTAGGCAAGTCTTGAATGGTAGCATTTCTCCTGATCTTTCAGTTCCTCCAGTCAGCTGACAGCAGACTTGATTGTGACAGAAGTGGTGGTGTTGTAGGTTCAAGCCCTCCCAGCCACCATTGTCATGCAGAAACCACAAAGCCAGATGTCAAAGGTCTCATCTTTTTTTAAAAAAAGATTTAAAGATAAGTATATCTATTTATACAGTCTTCTGCCCACATGTATGCCTGCAAGTAAGAAGAGGGCACCAGATCTCATTATAGATGGGTGTGAGCTACCATGTGGTTGCTGGGAATTGAACTCATGGCCCCTGGAAGAACAGCTGGTGCTCTTAACCTCTGAGCCATCTCTCCAGCCCAGGTCTCTTCATCTTGGTCTTGCCACAGAGGAGCAAGTGAAGTTGGTGTGCTGGCTGATTTCAATTTTCTTCGATATTTTCTGTAGGGAGGCACCATAGCAGGTCCATATTTCCCAATGATTCCCGACCTTCTTGGTGCATTTAGCCATGTTGCCAGAATCTACAGCCAAGCCCGGAGAGGGGTGTTGCAAATCTTTAATCCCAGCACATGGGAAAACAGAAGCAAGATGATCTTCGTGAGGCCAGCCTGGTCTACGTATCAAGTTCTAGGACAGCTTAAACTACAAAAAACACATGCTACATCATGTCACTCAAAATTTAAAACTATATGGATCTTGGCTGGTGGTGGTGGCATACGCCTTTAATCCCAGCACTTGGGAGGCAGTCAGGCAGATCTGAGTTTGAGGCTACCCTGGTCTACTGAGTAAGTTCCAGGACAGTCAGGGTTACACAGAGACACCCACTCTTGAAAAAAACAAAAACAACAAAAACTATATGGACCTTTTTTTTGTTTTGTTTTTCGAGCCAGCACTCGGGAGGCAGAGACAGGCAGATCTCTGTGAGTTCGAGGCTAGCCTGGGCTACACAGTGAGTTCCAGGACAGGCTCCAAAGCTACACAGAGAAACCCTGTCTCAAAAACAAAACAAAACAAAAACCAAAACCAAACACCAAACCAAACAAACTATATGGACCTTTAAAAACTCAACAAAATTCAAGCTTGTACTTTCCTGGCTCATCTCATTTTTCCTTCTACCCTTTCTTCCTCTGCTCCATGTGTGATCATGGCCCACATGAGTGTGTAGAAGATGCACCTGAAAGGAAGCCGGGGAGAGCATCAAGTGTTCTAGCATCCTTCACTTTATTCCCTTGAGGCAGTCTCTTCAGGATTTGCAGCAATCTGAGTCTCTGGTTTCTGCCCAGCAAGGCATTGGGATTATAGGCATGCATGCGGCCATGACTGGTTTTGTACATGGGTGCTGAGATCTGAACTTAAGTCTGAAGGCTTGCATTTTTACCCACCCAGCCATTTCTCCAGCCCCGTCCTAACTCTTCCAATGCATCTATTACCCAAGTCCAAAATAGACTCCTGACTCTGTGAGACCTAGTTGTCTCACCAAGCCAATAGTACCTTTTAGAAAAGGTGGTAACTTACTACATAGCCTCATTCTTCAACCTCTTCTCTCCTCCTCTGTTCTATTGATGATGTTTCCACTCAGGTTACTATGGCCTCGTTATACTAGAAAATATGTTCTATTGCTACCGAATTCTTAAAAAAAAAAAAAAGCATATATTGTGTGTAGGTTCATGCAATCGGAGGTAAGAACAGCTTCAGGAGTTGTTCTTTCCTTCCACTGTAAGAGTCCCTGGAATTGAATTCCGGTCATCAGGCCTGATAACTGAACCATCTCACCAGCACTGCTCCTGAACTTGATAGACATCAAATTTCAGTAACCATGAACAGAAAATACATTTTTATGTGTATGGATGCTTGGTCTGCATGTATGTCTGTGTATCACTTTCATGCCTGGTGCCTTCAGAGGCCAAAAGAGAACATTGGATTCACTGGGGCAGGAGTTAGACAGTTGTAAACTACCATGTAGGTGCTAACAACTGAACCTGGGTACTCTGGGAGAGCAGCCAGTGCTCTTAACCACTGAACTGTCTCTCCAGCCTAGAACTACTTAGCACATAATGTTCAAAATGCCTCAGATATCATTAAATTAACTTCCTTAGGGTAGGTATGCTATTTTACACGTAAGGAAATTAAAAGTACAATGATATGAAATTACGTATCTACGATGGTTTGAATAAAAACGACCCTCTGAGGAGCCTCATATATTTGAATTTTTAGTCACCACGGAGTGGTATTATTTGAAAGGATTTAGGTGTGACCCTGTTGGAGGAAGTGTGTCACTGGGGGCAGGCTTTGAGGTTTCAAAGGCCCAAGCCCAGAGTCTGTCTCTGTGCTTGTGGATCAGGATGTAGCTCTCAGCTACTGCTTCAACACCTGTCTGCATGCTGCATGCTCCCCACCATGATGATAATGGAGCAAGCCTCTGAAAGGCCCCAAATAAATGTTTCTTTTCTAAGAATTGTCTTGGTCATGACTCTTCACAGCACATGACCAAGAATAGTGACTAAGACAATATCCAAGGCTACATGGTGGCAGAGCCAAGATTTAAGTTTAGTTTAGGTATACAATTGACACTTCAGTCTCCACAGTAAATAGCTTACTTCAGTTAAAGCAGTAATTACAAAAAGATACGGTATAATTTTATTATTTCCAACTTGTTTTCATCACAATAAAAATAACACAGCTTTACAAAAATAAATTTTTATTAAAAGCAGTAAAGTCTGAGCAGGAAGACAGTACAAAGAATGTAAACAATGTAAACATCACTACATTCAGCTCAGCCTGATTGAATGCTGAAACACAAGTCTAAATGCTCTATGTGCCCTTACTAGCAAGATACATTAATTCTATTTTACAAAGACAACATATTCTAATTTTTACTAGAAAAAAATAGTTTATCGAAGTCGATCCCAACGCCAAATGCTGGCGTCATCACAGACAGCTATGAGGATGCTGCTATCCCTGCTAAAACTGGTTTGTCGAATAGCAGCACCACATTTATGATGAGTCAGTGTTGTACACCTAGGGAAAAACATAAGAGGTTAAATAGCGCACACACAACAGTGTTTACCTTAAAGGTGAACTGAGAAAATGTGCAGTTTAAAGCTATCTTCATGAAGAACTCATTCTCAAATTTCACCAAGTTTGGTATATTTTTTCTTGTCACCACAGTATAAATACCAGTTAATTGAAATATCAAAAAATACTCAATCCACAGCAACACAAAAAGTAATGATTTAAGGATGACATTAAGGGCTATAATTTAGAACGCTTCAGAAAATTCTGTACTTACTTGGCTTTATGAGGATCTTCTACTTCTAAATCCCAAACATAAAGTTTGCCAACCTGATTGCCCAATGCAAGCATCTGTGTAAACACAGTGGAAAGCATAAAATTAACACAACACCACGCACTAAGATATTCAAGTAATCCTAAAACAGCTTCCCTGCTTAGAGAAGCCTCAGCTCCAGCCTTGATGGCCCTCTTGACTAATCCTTGCATCTTGTTACTGATTTGTAAGTAGGAATAAGAAAGAGTAATTATTTCCTTGGCATCTTGAGAAAATAAGGCTCTGCGACATTTCATAGACAGCGTTACAGTACTTTTTCTCCACTTTAGACAGCAAGAGTGGGATGCTCTTCAAAGCTTTGTTAGAGAAATAGTCAGTTAAATGTCTGACAAAATTGCAGCAGAATTTAATGTCTTGGATAATAGTTATTTTACCTTCTATGTTGGTTTTTCTAGAAAAAAAGCTAGGTAAGATGATAAACACATTAAAATATTGTATCTTAGGAACAGGCATTAGGATTGTAACATTACCAACACCTAACTGTCCATTTCTTTTAAAACACTGTAGATAATATGCAGCGCCCAGGAGGTAGCTAAAGTAATCAACACAGGACCAAGACAACCAATGTTCGAGGACAAGGAGCATGGACAGAACAGGAAAGGCTAGAACTACACGGTGTTTCAGAAGACAATTCCAAATGTAAAAGTATGTGCTACCTTTTGCCAGAAATCCATAGAAAACCTCATGTACCAAATGTCACATTGGCTGTAATCAAATCGCCCAAGAATAGTCACATTAGACTCACTAGGTTTAATTTTATCTATATCATCCTCCATTTTGCCAGGTTTCCAGCATACAATGGCATTTTCACAAGACTAAAAGAGAGAGAAATAAGAGACATGTATTAGAACTGAATTTCAAAAATAAAAATCAAACTGTTTACCATTTTAGAATAGCTCAAAGAACCTGCTTTCCAGGACTATAAACTGATTGTTTATCACCAGGTCAGGGTTTACACCTGAGGACAAGAAATCTGACTAGCAAAAGAATTAAACAATACAAAAGAATCGTGCTATTTGAAATAGTTTCTCTTCCGAAACAAATTAAGTTCAGCTCCAGACAGGCTGGCACCCAGAGACTTGAGGAGTACTATAGATAATTAGAAAAATTTAGTATTGCAATAGAAGGCTTTTCAAATCTGGCCACTGTTTTCCCAATCCACATGTAATCAGGAGTGGCTTCCTGTACCTTGTTATCTACTAAGGCTTCATCCACAGTGTGGGCACCACATGGTAGATGCTTAGAAGACAACATAGAAAATTGATTAATTCACTGAAAGACCACTGAAAGGTAGCTCAAGACACGGATGTGGGGATAAGATCAGACTATGAAATTATACATTCCTGTAACACTGTGTCTTTGATACTTCTACTTAAAATAATCTCCCTTTGGCCATTATTCCAATCATTGTCTCAGCCAGTAGTGCACACTACCGAATTTTTGGCAGTGTGTCCAGCTTCTAGTTGATAAAAGCCAGAGATGCTGTTAAATATCAACCTCTCCTCCAAGCCTGGCCCACCTCAACAGTACCTAATTAACAACCTTGCCCTCTAGAGGTTTTCAGGCAGCCTATTCAGTCACAGATGGCAACCCACTGAGGTATCCACATTTAAACAGTTTAACCACAGGTCCAGAGAAAGATTATAAGAAGAGCAGTTTTTCTTCTCTACCATCTTCAAACTTGGAAATTCTCAAGCTAAGTGATATCTACACAAGTTACTAAGTGCACAGTAGCACTGGCCCAATGTTGCCCTTAATTTATAGTTGGAGTTTTCTCTAAAGACTCATCTTGGCTCAAACTCTTAAGTCAGACTCTCTCACAGTTTCCTGGGGCTTCTTTTGCTACCCTAGACTGGACACTGAGAAAGCAATGACTGAGAAATGCTGAGAGTGTGGTGGTTTGAAAGAAAATGGCTCCCAAAGGGAGTGGCAAGACCAGGAGGTGTGGCCTTGTTGGAGGAAGTGTGTCACAATGCCGGTGGGCTGTTGAGGTCTCTTTTGCTCAAGGTTCCCTCAGTATGACAGTCAGATGACTTCCTGTTGCCTGCAAGATGTAGGTCTCTCAGCTACTACAGCCCCACATCTGTCTGCATGCCACCAAGCTCCTTGTCATGATGACAATAAACTGAATCTCTGAAACTGTAAGCAAGCCACCCCAATTAAATGTTTTCCATATAAGAGTTGCCGTGATCATGGTGTCTTTTCACAGCAATAAAAACCCTAACTAAGACCAACAGAAAGGCCCTACAAAAGTCTGCTGTTCCAAGACAGAGAACTGACAGCAGCAATCTAATAGAACAAAAATAAAAATGAAAAATGCTCTACTCCCACCAAACAAACCACTTCCATTTAAACCTGCTTTTAAGAAACCATTCCTTAGATCTTAACAAAGTACATCCCTGGCTCTCCTTACTCTTTGTAGTAATGTGCTAGCTAGCTCTCTCTGGCCTGGCTAGTATCAGAGAAGGACTGGCAGCCAGGACATCACACAACTGCCCACTGGAAGAGTACAACAGACTATCCATTGAGCCAGTAAGTAGAGGCCACTAAGTAAGCAGTGAAAAGGTATCCCTCTCACCTCCTTTAAGGTGGTGTCAGCTGAGGCCTAGTGGGAAGCCTGAACTTCCTTCACCTGGCAACTGCAAGGCAGAGCTACAATGTTCCCTTCCACAGCTGAGAAGATAATCAAGAAAGCCTGCTAACAAGAGGATCTCAAGAAGACCCAAGGGCCAGCTCAGTGATGGAGTGCTTGCCTAGCAGGAGTGAGGCCTTGGGTTTGATATCTAGCACCACAAACAAGTGGCAAGCTGAATGACAAAATATTCTTTCCTTCCTTCAGCAGCTTTCGCCAGCTGTTCTGTCCCATCAACTATTAAGTAATGCTATAACTAAAATTAAAACTTAATTGATGGGCTCAGTTAAGGACAACCCAGTAGAATAGTATTTAATCTGAACAAAAAGGGACAGATGGAGAAGGCGGACAGGAGCCAAACAACAACAAATCTAACAAAAATCTCAGTGCTAGAGTATGGACAACAGAAGGCCAGCACTGTGTGTAAAAATATCTAGTATTTCACTAGAGTGTCTCAAAATGAGAGAAAATCAGGGCTGAAAAAAATCTGGATCATCAGTGATATAGTTCAAGTATGAGACAAAATATTTCTCTAATATATAAATCTACTACAGATTCAAAAATCAATGAGCTACAAATAAGGTAAATCAAAGTAATGCCCACCTAGCCAAATCATACTCAAACTTGAAACTAAAATATAGTCCTATTCAGTCCAAAAACTAAAGGAAAAGGAAAAACTCTGAAAGCAGTTAGGACAGAAGACATTGCTACAGTTATACACGGGGGAAAAAGTTTTATGACAGAATTTCACATCAGAAGCCACTGGGGCCAGAGAAAGAGCAAATATTTTCCAAGCATTTGAGGGGGGGAGGAGGAGTACCCACGAAGCCAGAAACGTGTGTTTAGTAAATACAGTCTTCAGGAGAGAAGAGGAATATGAATCTTTCAAGAACAGACCTCAATGAATGCAGGAAGCTTCCCAACAGAAAGGAAATGACTTAAGATGGCACCCTAAAGCTAAGGAAAGGAAAAAGAAAAGACAAAAGCGGTAAATACAACGCTCTGTTTCCTGAGATTTCTAAATTATATTTCACTACAAAAATTACACTACTCAATGTGGCTCTCAAATGTTAATGAAATAGTTAAGATAATTCCATTAGATTGTAACCTGGGGATGAACTGATGAACATAAAGGGTTCTACACTTCCTTTGATTGCTAATATGCCAAGATATGGTAGACTGAAGTTACATACATGAAATAATACATCTGAAGCAACCTCCAAAACTGCTACACAAAGAAATACACATAATTACATAATAGTGCCATATATGGGACAGCAACATGGCTCTGCAGGTACAAGTCCTCAATGCACTAGCCTCACAACCCAGTACAATGCCCAGATTCCATGCAAGGAGAGAACAGATCCCTCAAAGTTGTCTTTTGACCTCTACACACTGCAGCAGCAGACATACAAACACACACATGAATAAAAATTAAACCAAAAAAGCTACACATAAATAAAAAGGGGATTCTAAAAAATGTTACATTACAGACATGGAGCTCATGTCTATAATCCCAGTACTTGGGAGACTGAGGCAGGAGACTTCCAAGTTTCAGGTTAGCCTGGGCTACATAGCATGTTCAAGGCTGGCTTGGGTTCATGGTGAGACACCCTGTCTCAATAAACAAGGAGAAGAATTAGAAGAGGAGGAGATAAAAAGAAATGAAGAGGAGAAGAAAGCCCCAAACAAAAACAAGACAGAAGGAGGAGGAAGAAGAAACCAGCCCCAAACAAAATGAAGCAAAAGGTTCAAATAACCTACAGGAAGTACAGGGGAGAACTCAAGAAACAGATAGGATAAAGACCAGGAAATACTGTTTTAATGTTCAGTTCTTTGGGCTAACAAACAATATAAAGTGGCGGAAAGAATTTAAAGAGATAAGGTCCAAATAAATAAAGGGTTGGGGATGCAGCTTGGTGTTAAATTAACTGTGTGTGATGAAGCTTAGGTGAGGTGGTACACACCTTTAATCCCAGCACTTGGGAGGCAGAAGCAGGGAGAGTTTGAGGCCAGCCTGGTCTACATAGTAAGTTCCAGGTTAGCCGGCTTCACTAGATTCTACATCAAAAATCAATCAATCAATCAATTAATTAATTAACTAATTAATTAATTGGGATGGTACAGTTGATACCATGCAATATGATTTAGCAATGGAAAATAAGAACTACTTTACAAGCAACAACTTGGATGGATCTCCAATGAATCCTATTGAGTAAACAATTATAGCATTCTTGAAATGACAAAATTCATTTGACAAAAGGATAAGGAACTAAACACACAGCATTCACAGCATACAGATGTTCCTTTTTCTAGGTTTTCAAGAGCACAACAGTGTAACATATAACTACTGATTTATAACTCCAGTTCCAGGTGATCCAAATGCCCTCTTCAGGCCTGAGGGAACCAGACACACACAAGGTACACAGACATACATGCAGTCAAAATACTCATACACATAAAATAAACAATATATGTAATAATAATAGTAACTATTGAGACAAAGTGGAGAATGGTCATACTGAACCTCTCTCAACTACCTTCAAAAGTTCCTGTAGCCTATTCCAAGATCAAGAGTTTAAGGATGGGAACATGAAACCATGAATCTAAACCCAAAAAGGAGTGAAAAAAAAAAATTCACACTAGGTTCTGCCTAAGGAAAAGTGAAAGGCCCTGACATTCACTTCAAGAAGCCATGCAGGAATCTCTTCAACTCCGACAAGCCTGCACGAATCACCCCTTTAGATGATCAACTGGAAAAAAAACAAAACTAAACAAGACACAGTCACCTGCTGTGAATATCACTCTGTATGCTATGAATGTGTTGCTCTAATTAGTTAATAAATAAAGTGCTAATTGGCCAGTAGCCAGGCAGGAAGTATAGACGGACAAAGAGAGAGGAGAATGCTGGGAACAAGAAGGCTGAGTCAGGCCAGCCAGAAACAGAGAAAGCAAGATGTAAAAGTACCAGTAAGCCACAAGCCACGTGGCAACTTACAGATTACTAAAAACGGTTTAAGATATAAGAACTAGATAGTAAGAAGCCTGACACAGCCATACAGTTTATAAGTAATGTTAAGTCTCTGTGCATTTACTAGGATCTGAGTGGCTGCAGGAGCTGGGTGGACACAGGGAAACTTTCAGTTACAGTCACCCCTCAATTCCCTGGAAGGACTGGCTCCAAACACCAAAGTCTACAGGCTCAAGTACATGAAATGGTGTCATATGTATACACACTCCCACATAATTTCAATCATGACTGTATTTATGAAACCCAATACAGTGCAATTTGTATATTTTAGTTGTACTGTGTTAGTGAATGACAAGAAAAGCTTTGTACATGTTCAGCACAGATGCAATTCTTTTGTTCCAATACTTTTGATCAATCATAGATTAATTTAAAATATGTGGAATCCATGGATACAAAGGGCTGTATATCTATATCTATGAATAAGATTAAGCAGGGCGAGCAAACTGCAGCCTGTAAGCCAATGACCTCTAGCCCGGTTCTTACAATGACTGAGATAAACACAAAACATTCCTATTGGCTTTGATTATTATTTTCACATCACTGACCCAGAGAGTCAGTCACACCTTCCAAACTCACTTCTCTTCTTACTAGAGCATAAACTACAATCTAGTGAACTTCTTTTTCCTTAAGTAAGTCTGCAAATTTACCAAAATATAAGACTGTAAACAGTTTCTACCTGCTACTGATTTTAATAAATTTTGTAATTAGCTGTTTCTTGCAAAGCATACTCTCTCTCAGACAGACAGACAGACAGACACACAATGCAAGTACAGTTTAACTCAAGTTTTCCATACCTTGGAAAGTATCAAATCGCCTAACCATCGTACACAATCAACATAATTCCTATGTATGTCTCTGGTAGAAAAGTCAGGAAAGTGGATTTTCTGGGAAATAAATGGCCTGAAGGAAGAATGGAAATGTAAAAGTTAAAAAAAACGAAGTGTGGTAGGTTCACATTGTTTTTTCAGTTTGGGATTTATACACTGTGTAGTGCTCAGGAGCAAACCTAGGGCTTCACGCCAATCAGGCAAGCACTCCGCCTACTGAGCTTCATTTTCCAGTTCAATATTTAAAACTCCACAATATATGACTATTAATTTCTCTATGTTCCTAGATAAAAATATATCAGTTAACCTGTTTTTTTGGAGATAAAGTATCCATTTTTCTTTTCTTTCATTATCAGCTGATACAATGTTTCACTTTTCTTTTTAAATTTAGGATTTTAAATTTGGGACAAAAGGGATGGTAAAAGCACTTGCTACACAAGCCTGGCCTGAGTTCAATGTATGAAACCCACATAAAAGGGAAAGATGACAAGTGGCCTCGACAGTTGTCCTCTGACCTCCAGTTTTGCTAAAATATATTTGTGAAAAAACAATGAACAAGATATTCTGGAGGTGGTGACTTAAAAGCACACCTAACATTTCTAATCTAGTAAGTGCTTCCATGGTGTTTGTCTGCTTTTCTTTCTTTCATTTTTTGGGGGCCAGAAATCAAAGAGCATCATCCTTGCTGGACAAGTGTTCATCCAGAGCCATACCCCACCTCTGTGATTCACTTTTTGTTTGCTCTTCCAGACAGAGTTTCTCTTTCTCTTACTGGAACTCAGAGATCCGCCTGCCTCTGCCTCCTGGGTGCTGGGATTAAAGGCCTGAGCCACCACTGCCTAGCTGTGATTCACTTTTTACTAATTATATAACTGTGATTGTGGATCAATTAATTGCCCAAGGCAATCATGTCCTCCTTCCCCTCATTTGTAAAAACAGCAGATTAGGCTCATCATCTCACACTCCTTTCAAAGTCTAGGGTCTCCTGTTATGAAACAAGGTCATTCACAGAGCCTGAAGTTAGTGGGTTCCTAGGCTGCATGGCTGACAGGCTCCGTTCCCCAGCCGAGATCACAGGAGTCAGAGCCGAGCCATGCTTTTACAGCAGATGCTCTTACCGTCCCACCAAGCCACTATGACAGGAATTCTTGACTGTTACAGCTTCAGCTGCTTTTTAGCCAAATGTATATTATCTTACTAGTAAAGCCTTTCAAAAATACCAAGGACACTCTGTGAAATATAGTTTATACTTATTCCAGAGATCTAACAATCATTTCAAAACATAAATTTAACATTGCACCTGACACTGAAAGGTAGAAACCCTAAAAATTGTACTAATTCTTAAAAGCCAATGAGGTATGGTAAGTACACTCCAATGCTTACTAAAGCTTGCAAAATTAATCACCTATTAATAATCAGACTTAAAAACTCTTTGCTAAAATAAAAATACAAAGTCAACAATTTAAATATATGGTGCTCAAAGTGAAATAATAGATGTAAATGTGTTTATAAGTGAAGTAATACTGACAACCCATAAATACTAAAAAGGCAGTTACACCAAGACCTGAAGCACTTCAAAAGAGGAACAACTGTAACATCTCAAAAAATAGAAATCTCCACCCCATGGTATGATGGAACAATACTCCACAATTTGAATTTTCTCTATTTAATGAAGGAAGCATTGTTTACAGAAAAATATCAGTATCTATCTATCTATCAATCAATCTATAAATCAGCTGGGTCTCACTATGTATGTAGTCCTAACTGGCCTAAAACTTGCTCTGTAGGCCAGGCTGGCTTACTATATTCCAGATGACATAAACGCCCTCCCCTTGGCTCTGCCTCCTCAGTGCTGGGACTAAAAGTGTTCACTGCTATGCCCAGCAGGGAAGTATTATATTATCATGAACTATAGCTAGAAAACCAATTTGAAACCTTAGTTTACTATATTGAATTAGAACTTATTATGTCTTTTCCCTTCTCTAGCCCACAATAGGTTCAGGTGATTTAAAACTTTTATAATTTATTGAGTCAAGAACATGCATACATAAATCAAAATAAGTGAAATGTGTCATTAAATGAGACAAAAACAACTCAAATAAGACTGAAAAAATGTTAAATAAGGGATTCCTTTGGAAAAGGTGAATCTGATGGTAAGAAAACGATACCTGCAGGTTGTAAGATATTAAAGAAGGGCTAAGGCAGCATTGGGGATTATTTCTCAAAACCTGAGGGAAAGGGAAACACAGCTACTCAACAGTAAAGCATCGGAGCGTCACCTGTTGGTTTTATTTGGGTTATAATCATAAGATTCCTTAATCGCATTCATCATTCTCTTTGAGTTGATTCTCCAGAGTTTAAGAGAGTGATCCATACCACAGGACATTATTTTTTCACCCAAAAGATCATAATCCTAGGAATAAAACACAACAGTGAAAATAAGTAAATTACAGTCTCAAATGCTCTTTCTCAGTTTTCACCTGGTGCACAATACAGTGAGCACTGTATTTCAAACTACAATGCTACATTCTGGGCTTCACCTTAACACATCCTAAGTCACACTAGTATTTTCCATTTAAAGTTTTAATTACTTCTTCACCACTACTAGAGTGCAAAATGGAAGGCAAAAATTAAGTTACTTGAATTTACACTCATCTATTCAACTACATTTAAATATCTCCCTTGATTTTAAAAGTAAATCAAATGCTGAAAATAATCATTCTGACACAAAAAAAAGCTGAACAGTTATACTACTTTTCTTGTCTAATTGCAATTAAGAAACTAAAGGAAAGCCAGGCAGTGGTGGCACATATCTTTAGATTCATTTATTTTTATGTTTACTGGAGTTCTGCATATGTTTGCACACTGCATGTGTGTAGTGCCTATGGAGGAGAGAAGAGAGTATCAGATCTCCTGGAACCAGAGGTACAGAGGGTCCAGTTCCTCTATGTCAGACTTTTTAATAAAGGACAGTTCATTTGACTTGACTCCCACATAAAGCCTGATATACAATGACACTACAACTTCTAGAAAAATCCAAGTTGACAAGGTGTCATTAGGTAGTCGGGAATCCTCAAAGGTAGATAAGCCTGATTAAAGCAGTATTTTGGCACCTCTATACATGCTTCAAAGTGATTTGTTGTCTTTTTTTTTTTTAAGATTTATGTATTTATTTATTATGTAGTCAGTGTCCTGTCTGCATGTATGCCTACACACCAGAAGAGGGCACCAGATCTCATTATAGATGGTTGTGAGCCACCATGTGGTTGCTAGAAATTGAACACATGACTTCTAGAAGAGCAACGAAGTACTCTTCACCACTGAGCCATCTCTCCAACCCAAAATGATTCATCATTAAGTAGTTAAATTAGAAAAAAAAAAAAAATTGGGGCTGGAGAGGTGGCTCAGAGGTTAAGAGCACTGGCTGATCTTCCAGAGGTCCTGAGTTCAATTCCCAGCAACCACATGGTGACATCTGTAATGTGATCTGGTGCCCTCTTCTAGCCTGCAGGCATACATGCAGGCAGAACACTGTATACATAATAAATAAATAAATACTTTAAAAAAAAAAAAGAAAAAAAAAAAATTGAAGAGAAGGCTTAAAAAAAAAATCAAGTGAGTTAATATGTAAAAGCTACAATGTTAAAAACTTGAACACTTACTGAAGTTGACAGTCACTGATTAGTGTATCAGCAGAAAGATAGTACATGCTTGTCTTTAAACAATCAGGACAGCCCGGCAGTGGTGGCGCACGCCTTTAATCCCAGCACTCGGGAGGCAGAGCCAGGCGGATCTCTGTGAGTTCAAGGCCAGCCTGGACTACCAAGTGAGTTCCAGGAAAGGCACAAAGCTACACAGAGAAACCCTGTCTCGAAAAACCAAAAAAAAAAAAAAAAAAAAAAACAATCAGGACAGTGAAATGTCTGCTGCCAAAGAGACCTGTTACCAAGCTTAAAGATCAGAGTTTGGTCCCTAGAACCACATGGCAGAAACAGAGAAGAGACTCCTCGCTACACGGGAAAGTTGTTGTGGCTTTGTACTGGCTAGTCTTATGTCAACTTGACACACAAACTAGTTATCTGAAAGGAAGGAAACCTTAATTGAGAAAAATGCCTCCATAAAAATCAGGCTGTAAGCAGGGTGGTGGTGACGCACATCTTTAATTCCATCACTTGGGAGGCAGAGCCAGGTGGATCTCTGTGAATTCGAGGCCAGCCTGGTCTACAGGAGTAAGATCCAGTACAGGAACCAAAACTAAACATAGAAAGCCTGTCTTGAAAAAAACCAAAACCAAAACCAAACAAAAAAATCAGGCTGTAAGGCATTTTCTTTATTAGTTAGTAGTGGGGTGGGAGTGGGTGGGTAAGGCAACCCATTGTGAGTGGTTCCATCCCCAGGCTGCTGGTCCTGGGCTCTATAAGAAAGCAGGCCCAGCAAGCCATGGAAAGTAGGCAGCATCCCTCCATGGCCTACATCAGCTCCTGCCTTCAGGATCCTGCTCTGCCTGAGTCCTGTCCTGACTTCCTTCAGTGATGAACAGCGATATGGAAGGGTAAGCCAAATAAACCCTTTCCTTGCCAACTTGCTTTTTGGCCATGATGTTTTCAATGCAGCAACAGAAACCCTAACTAAGACACACCTACTCATGTATACACACACACACACACACACACACACACACACACACACACACACACACACTAAAGAAACATTTAAGCTGGGCAGTGGTGGCACATGCCTTTAATCCCAGCACTTGGAAGGCAGAGGCAGGCGGATCTCAGTGAATTGAGGCTAGCCTGGTCTATAAAGAGAGTTCCAGGACAGCTAGGACCGTTATACAGAGAAACCCTGTCTCAAAAAACAAACAAACAAACAAACAGGCCAGGCCTGGGTGGCACAGCCTTTACTCTCACTCAGGAAGCAGAGGCAGGCTACCTATGAGTAAGATACCAATCTGGTCTACACAGAAAGTTCAGGGCCAGCCGATGTTATAGTAAAACCTTGCTTACAAAACACAAAGCAACAATTTTTTTTTAAAAAAACGACAACTATTGGTCTTGCATGCTACCCAGGAAAGAGGCACTCTAAAATGCAAGTGTAAGCACACCAAAAGAAAGACTTCCTAAAAGTGAATCACTTATTTCAACTCCAAACAATATATTTCTTATGGATAGTTAAACTTTTGTTTTTTAGTAACACAGACAACAAGGTAAAATTAACTTGGTGATTTTAGATTAAATGGAAAAAAGTTGGGTCTGGTGGAACATATCTATAATCCCAGCACTCAGGAGGCTGAGACAGAAGGATAGAGACTTCAACATCAGCCTAAGTTACATGGTAAACCCTATCTCTGAAACCACACCAACCACCCCACAAAAAGGAATGATCATGGTACCACAAAATCTGAGCCATTTTTATAAAACCGAACTCACAATGGCTCAACTTGCTCTACCCTGTTATGTGCAGTGTCCAAGTCTTTATGTCAAACAGATGAGACAACTGCCTGGCAGGCTGCATGAAGCAGACACAACCACGCATCCATAAAGGGAAAGGCTCAGTGGAGATAGTCACACTATATAAACCCAAAGTCATGACCCCAAGTTCAACTTACAGCACTCAGAACTTCATCTCTGTGTCCTTCCACACCGCCAAATATTGCCACAAGCGTGTCCGTTTGGATATTCCATAATCGTAAAGCATGATCTATTATAAACACAGAAAGTAAAGATCAACTTTTATCACTCATCTACTGCAAACTTTTAGTACTGCATTAATATGTAAAAGTTACAAAAACTTAGATTATGCACAATAAAGACTATCATTCATGATATAACAACTTAAAATATGCCACATGTGGAATTAACTAGAGAAACGGTGAGGTTAAGTAAGTTCCAAGCCACACGGGGCTACACAGTGACACTGCCTCAAAAACAAACAAAATGAAAATTACAGCAGACATGAGGATGTTGCTCAGGGCATACCTAACACACCCAAGGCCAGGGGTTCAAGCACCAGCCTGAAATAAAAAGGCAAAAAAATCAAAAAAATTCCTCCTCCCCTTAAACCTATACTCAGCACTTGGGGGTAGAGGGGATGTGAAGCCATAGAACTGCCCTGAGTTCAAGGCCAATCTGGGGCGTGTGGGGGGAGGGATAGATAGAGATCGATCCTGTCTCAAACAGTGGTGGTGGTACAAGCCTTTAATCCCGGCACTCCGGGAAACAGAGGCAGTAAGATCTCTTAAGTTCAAGAACAGCCTGGTCTACAGAGTTAGTCCCAGAACAGCCAGGGCAACACAGAGAAACCCTGTCTCAAAAAAAAAATTAAATAAATAAAATAAACAAAAATAAACAAACAGTGGAAACAGTGGAGAGAGAAGAGATGGCTTAGCAATTAAGTGCAGCTGCTACTCTACCAGGGGATCCTAGTTCAGTCCCCAGAACCCACAGCAGCTCACAATGATCTCCAACTCCAGCTCCAGGGGATCCAATGTCTCCCACTTCTGCACTCATATGCACAAACCCACATGCAAACATACACATCTACACATTTATAACGGCAGTGCAGGCACAAGGAGCAATGCAATGCTTTTCTTTAAGCCAGGAAGTACTTCCAAGAGTTCACGCCAGAGACCTTAGCCATTCAAGGAATTATAACCAGATGCAGTGGCTTATACCTGTAACCTCTGACTGAGAAGGCTGGGATTCAAAGTTCTCTGTGGCTTTGTATCACTCTGAGATATAGACTAAGAAACTGTCTCAACCAAAAAACAAGGCAGGAAGAGTTTGAAGAAATTTTATAGGGATTCAAAAATAAAATATTTTTAAAATAAAAAAATAAAGCATGGCTCTTCACTGCAGTGCTTCCTTTATTATTATTATTATTTTATTTATTTATTTATTGTGTGTGTGTGTGTAGGTCAGAGGGCAACTCTGTGATGTAGTTCCCCTTCCACCTTCACAAGGTTCCAAGGATGGTCAGGCCACCTCATCAGCCCTTTTCATTTAACATGCAGCATTTCTTACAGCATTATTGAGGCTGGGTGGCGGCAGCTGCACACCTTTAATCTCAGCTCTCAGTTGGAAGAGGCAGGTGTAGCTCAGAGTTCAAGGCCAGCCTGGTCTACAGAGTGAGCTCCAGGACAGCCAGGGCTGCACAAAAAATCCTGTCTTGAAAAACAAATATATGTCATATTTGATATATCACTCAATACCGATAGAGCAATATAATTGTTCATGTGAGGATAAGGTTCTAGAACTATCACAATACAGGAAGTGAGGTTTGTTCTCTAAGTCTTGGTTTATGAGATGCTAATCCAAGCTATTTTTTTCTACTAAAACCTTTTTTTTAATTTTACTTTCCCTTGTCTTTTTAAAACAATTATTCCAAAACAATCTGAACTAAGGAAACATTTGTTTCTGTAACCTTACCTTTACTTACTGACAGGAGAAGATTTGGGTCTCGTGGGTGGAATTTCAGTTCATTGATAGCATTTCCATGGCCAACATAGTGCTATAACAAATTCAAAATATTGTTTCATATCTCAAAAGCCAATAAATTCTTTCATAAACCTTAAGAGAAACAAAAGGCTGGAGATACAGTTCAGTGGTAGACCATAAGCCTAGAATACTCAAGGCTAAAGTTCAATGTCCAGCAAAGCTGCCCTCTGCCTCCCAAGCAAAGTTTCACTTCAAGTTCTTCTCAACCTTCGCTACACAATAAAATCGCCCAACAAATTTAAAGGTAGAAAAATGGGACCAGTTAGTCACTACTCAGCTAACAGCACTGTTTAAGATATCCACCAGAATGCCAATGAGCCTCAGGTTAAGAACAGCAACATCTAAAGCCTGCCTTCTTATCAGCTTCTTTGGCTTTACCTTCCTGTCTCTTACACGGTGCCCTGGAACCCACACTTTTCATTTGGATTCCTTGGAAAAAGCTGTTACTCTTCAGTTAAAGAAGATGCTCAAAACAATCATAAGAAAACCCACAGAATCAATTAACCTGGGCTCATAGGAGCTCAGAAACTGAACAGACAACCAGGAGCCTGAACTGAACTGACCTAGGCACTTGGCATTATGTGTAACAGTTGCGGTAGCTTGGTCTTCTTGTGGGACTCCTAACAGTGGGAACAGGGGCTGTCTCCTGTACTAGCTTTTGGGACCCTATTCCTCACACTGGGTTGCTTTGCCCAGCCTTAATACAAGGGGAGGTGCTTAGTCTGACTGCAACCTGATATGCCGTGTTTTGTTGATCCCCATGGGAGGCCTGCCCTTTTCTGAAAAGAAACGGAAGAGAAAGCAATTGGGGGCGTGGGTGTGGTGATGAGGAGACAGGACTGAGGAGAGGAAGGAGAGGAAGCTTCAGCTGGGATGTAAAATAATTAATTAAAAAAAGAAAAGACGTTCAAAGCAAAGGAAGGAAAGAAATTAAAACAAAAATGGTGGGTATTGACACTTTCCTATGTATTCCTTAACTTACATTCAAGTATTCCTTAACTTACATTCAAAGGAGTACTCTTCTAAGAAAACAATGGGACTAGCAGGATGACTTAGCATGTAAAAGTGCTGGCTGGCATGCCTGAAAGCCGAGCTGGATCCTCAGGACCCACACGGCGGAAGAAGGGATCTGATACCTGATACATACACACACTCGTATGCACCTGCTCCACACACCCAAAGAGAGTAAGTGCAGTAAAAAAGGAAATGATAAGCAAGGCACAACCCAAATTAGCTATTTTAGTTATTGACTAAAATATTGACATGAGTTTTAAAGTTATTCCATGAAGTTGTATTGTAACGTATGAGTATTCAAAAACAGCAAATCTACAATTTGACCAGAAGACGCACCTTTATACACTGCATTGTTATGGGATTAATTATCCTTATGATGCCTCTAGATCCAGCAACAGCAAGCAGAGGGTGGCTGGTGTTGCTATCATAGGTCCATGCACAAGTATAAAAGTTTTCATCTGCCTAAGAAATGCTACAGTTAAGAAATATAATTTATTCTGAAAAATAAACATGTTAATGCAACAATAAATGGAACCTTCCAAACAACTGCTAAGGTTTTGGATACTTAAGTGCTCATTTTTTCTTTTTACAAAATTTGCATACTGCTAGCCAGGCGTCCCACGACTCAAGAGGCTGGAGGATTTTCTCAAAGCCTAGCTAGGGTTACTCAGCAAGGCCCCATTCTCAAAAGTAAATAATAAATACAGTGGTAGCACTTTTAGGTCTAAAATCCATACCAAATGAGCTCCCTCCTTGTACTTCACTCTACTATGCTTCTCTTTGGCTGCCTGTAGAACTAACTACTGTTGGAGTACTGTCAAAACAGCTAGAAAGAGCAGCTCAACACAGGCATGACTGTTCTTCAATAAAACTTTATTTACAAAGCTGGGAAGGGGGGGCTGGAGAGATGGCTCAGAGGTTAAGAGCATTGGCTGTTCTTCCAGAGGTCCCAAGTTTAATTCACAGCACCCACATGGTGGCTCACAACCATCTGTAATGAAATCTGGTGCCCTCTTCTAGTGTGCAGGCGTACATGCAAGCAGAATACTGTGTACATAATAAATAAAATAAAAAAAAAGTCTAAAAAAAAAGGCTAGGTGGTAAGCCTGCAGGCTTGGCTTTACTGACCCTCTGTCCTGACAATTCTATGAACCTATAAATGGTTCCTTTTTCCTAATGGCAACTGTTCACTCATCTCCATGTCATCTACAGATTCAATGCCACCTTGCTTCACTTGCTGTATTTTTTCAAATGATCTAGAAGAAACATCTTATCACTCAGGTTTTTAAAACTCCTTTTTAAAAAAAACCTTTGGGCTTTTAAATTAAGATCTTCCTTTTCTTCATAACTCACTCTCCAATAATTTCCTAAATTACACACACTTATTTTTTCCATCTCAGCTTTGTTGATCAAACATTTAGAATGACTGCCAGCTAAGTATTGAAACTATCCTGAAATTGTCAAACTCTAGGCTTGGCTGGTCCCTGCTAACAGCTTGTAGCATGGATTTCTAATGCTCCCAACTCCATTCCTCTTCACCCACCATCACATCCACCTCATGACAAATTCAAGATCAGGTAAACGAGATACAATCCCCTTAGCTAACAAGGACAACACTCCTAGCTAAAGAAAGATGGGACAGTAATTTTAAGGAATTTGTTTTTAAAAGTTTTAGTGTACTTATCAAAATAAACATCTTAAACAAGAGATGCAAAAAACAGTAAGAGAAGGATACATCAGCATCTACATAGGACTGCAATAACCGGATTTCCCCTTGTGAATGGCATTCATATAAGGTGACCTAAAGAAACAAAAATATGCATGTCACCTCAGATAAACAGTCTCTGGCTCTTAAAACATTCTAGGCCCAATTACAACTTAAAAACATTACAGAAACTGCTGTAAGCAGCTCTGTAAGCTTGCCTAAGCCACTATAAATCCTCACACCTTTTATGTAATACTAGACTACATTGAATAGCCTGGTAATAGTAGTTTCTATTTCCAAACATTTAAACATACATTTCACCCATATAATCACAACTTTTTCAAAGTGAGTAAAGTTAAAAACCTTAAAATAATTATGGCTTATCCTCCTTTCATTAAATTTGTAACAAAACATCTTTAGTATCATGAAACAATAATTAAAGAACACCACATAACATACACATGTACTGAAACACCATCTGATACCCATAAATATACAGTTTTTAATGACTTTACATATAATTAACTTTCAAAATTATTATTTGAATCCACTAGATTTATGCTTTCGTTATAGAACAATTAATCACACTTTTAAAAAAAAAAAAATGACAGGCTTCTGGGAATGGAGAGATGCTTAGTGACAAGAGTATTTGTTCTTCCAGAAGGCTCTGTTCTCAGCATCCACATGGCTGCTAACAATCCTCTGTAACTCTAATTCCCGAGGATCTAATGCCCTCTTCTGGCCTCCCGAAACACTGCATGACGTGGTGCACAGATACCCACGCAGGCAGCCTACTAACACATATAAAATCAGACTTTAAAAATAAAAGTACAGCCGGGTGGTGGTGGCACACACCTTTAATCCCAGCACTCAGGAGGCAGAGGCAGGCGGATCTCTGTGAGTTAGAGGCCAGCCTGGTCTACAAATCGAGTTCCAGGACGGCCAGGACTGTTACAGAGAGAAACTCTGTCTCGAAAAACCAAAAATAAAATAAAAGTACAGGTTTCTTTCATGTTTGAATGATAAATAACAGTCAATTCTTTCAGCTATTAAAAATATTTAAAGGAAACTATAAGGCCTGCTTCGTAACAAGTGTATATAAAAATGTACTTTCTAGTCATAATAAAATCATTCCACTTCAACACTTTAACTGTAACAGATGTAATAAAGCTGCCAAGCTGCCCCCAACACTCACTCTGTTGCTTCCCACGGTTGCGAACACCAGAGGATCCCCTTCCTTGCTGTGCCAATTAAACTGAACTCCAAACAAGGGTTGGTTATGATCTTCCTAGAAAATCATGAAAGAAGAAAATTTTAACAGTTTTGAAAACATTAGCAAACTTACCTACTTCCCCTTTTCTTCCCCAGATTCAGCCCACTCCCGCCCTTAGATACTGTGGTGCTTTGAATAAGAATGAGCCCATAGGGCTGTCTATTTGAATGCCTAGGGAGCTGCATTATTTGAAAGGATTAGGAGGCAGGGCATGGCTGGAGGCGGTGTGACACAGGAGGGGGTAGGCCATGAGGTTTCACAAGCTCAGGCCATGCCCAGGGTCCTCCACCCCTCCCAGTGGATCCAGATGTAGAATTCTAGCTGCCTTTCCAGCACCATGTCTGCCTGAGTGCCACCATGCGGCCAGCCATGACAATGGACTAAACCTCTGAAACTGTACGCAAGTCCCAATTAAATGTTTTTTTTTTTTTTTGCAAGGTGTCATGGTCATGACGTCTCTTGACAGCAATACAACACAAAGACATACAGCATACATATGCTACTTCTGACATTAAAATTAAGACACAATACAAGCATCCACATCTTAAAAATCTATGAATGTTTTCTAACAAAGATTCACATCACATGTTAGAAAACAGATACGTATCCTGGAAACACTGGTATCTGCCTGTTTTCTTAAACCCAATTGTCTTTCTGTATCAGAATAAATTGAGAACTTTTCTATGTAACCCTGGTTATCCTGGAATTCACTTTATACATCACCACCACCCGGCACAGCTCAGTCTTCAGTATGTCGTGATGATGGGTGTGAGCACTGTGTCCAGTTTAATGACTTAAATATGGAATATTTAGGGGGAAACAAGGAGTTAAATTATTGTGTTCTCAGTAGCATTTTCATTAATTTATAAAAAAAAAGACCACTGGTGGTAAGGACTTGCTATTTACTTTAAATGTTTTCTATGTCCATTTCCTGTTTTCTAAATTTTGTGGGCTTTTTGGGGGGCGGGCTAGAAAGACAGATGGCTCAGCAGTTAAGAGCACGGTCTGCTTTTCCAGAGGACCTGGATTCAATTTCCAGCACCCACACTGTAGAGTGCCCTGGGGCCTTGTACTCAGAGCAGCACTAAGAAAACCAGGAATGTTAATCACACAGGGGTGTCTCCTCACTAGAGGAGATAAAATCAAATACTGAGTTCCATCCAGAAAGCTGAGAGTTGAGGTTGCTGACGACCTAGTGACCTTCCTGGTGACCTTTTTGCTATCTGTGGAGGCAGACCTCACCCAAATTCCCCAGAATGATTATTCCAGATTCTTCCCTCCCTAGACAATTAACTAACTATCTTAGGGGAAATGTCACGTGTGCTTTATGGCCAGCTGACCTCTGTTATCAGTCAAGAGACCACACTAGAGCCTAGGCCTTTTAGCTATAGGACTCACCCTCATAGTCACACGTACTTTGTGAAAGAGTTTCTACGTAGTCACACCTTAAGCTTTATTTCGCACCTGGAAGTTGACTGACTGTGGGAATTATTGTTGCCTGGAGACTCTTTTCCAAATTCTATTGTGTTTAAACACACCTACAAGAAACTTCCTGGTCTAGAGTCCCCAAAGTCTGATCTAGGTTGGTGAAGTCAATCTGTTTTTTGGGTTTTTTGTTTTGTTTTTGTTTTTTTTTTTAAACGATTTATTTATTTATTATGTATACAGGCGAGGGAGCCAGATCTCATTACAGATGGTTGTGAAACACCATGTGGGTGCTGGAAATTGATCTCAGGACCTCTGGGAGGAAGAGCAGTCGGTGCTCTTAACCTCTGAGCCATCTCTCCAGCCCGGTGAAGTCAATCTGCACTGCATTTCTATTCTCATCCCTTCTCATGGATTGCTTCCCCTATATGACACCTGCATGACACACGACAGATCACAACTGTCTGTAACTCCAGCTCCAGAGGAACTGACTCTCTCACAGACAGCTACAATCAAGCAAAACACCAATGCACATAAAATATAAATAAATGAGTAAGAATACACTGATTTTTGTGTGTCTAGAGGCCTGCTTGCCACACATATGGCAGTCAGAGAACGACCTCAGAAGTCAGCCCTCTCAGTCCACCATCCGGGTTCCAAGGATTAAACTCAGGTTCTCAGGCTTGGCAGCAAACACCCTTACCCACTGAGCCATCTGGCTGGCCCCAAACCCAAAAGCTTTTAAAATGTCACAGTTTTCCTATATGACAATTACAAGCCAAAGTTGAAAATGTTTTTAAAACTATAAAAGTTAAGGCGTGTTGAAGTTTACTAGGGTCCAGTTAACAGATCACTCAGCTCTTTTTAATATTGGACCAACAGATAAAGCAATACCAGCCTGCAAGTCAGTATCATACATTTAAAGCAAAGCACAACAATAAATAAAGCTGAAATGACTAAAGGTATGATAGATTATGATATTCAGCTTAACCAAAAGAACCTTTGAAACACTGTAATTTTAGAATACTTGAAACCTAAGGGTATCCTCCTATCTGTCCCTGAGAGAAGTCCGCAGCCTAGTGCTTCCTGTACATACCTTGAGGCTGTTCACACATTTGAAAGAATATTTGCATTTCTTCGATTTCCATTTTCCCTTTCCCCAGCTCTTCCTCCCGGGTGCATTTGGTGTGTTTGTAGGTGTGTCAGGGCGTTCTGTGTTTGTGCCACTCTCGATACTGACAGCATCATCCTGTGAACAGTAAAATCAGGAATAACTTCGTTATTTAAAGGCAACTGACTGCACCACTAGAAAGATAACGACTAACTTAAAAGTGTGTAAAAAATGGGGCATGTACTCCTGGCTGCGGCTGGGGGTTTTAGGAAGTAGAATCCAGTTATGCATTAGAACACTTGTGGATATTTTACACTGCAGTCAAAATAAAAACAAAGTACTAAGAAGATAATGAAAGAGTAATTTTGCCTTTAAATAAGACACTGGCCTATGCCAGTGACACTAATACAATTCACCGTTCACTCTTACACAGCTCTGCGGAAAAGCCACTATTAGACAAGAAAATGTTGAGTAAAACTAACTGTTCTCTTGCTGGTAAAGAGTTGCTAGGATTCAATACTTCATTAACACAGAAAATAACCGAATAAATTCAGCAAATCTGATCGACCTACGTACACATCTTCGTAACTTACTTACTTGACTGCTGCTCAAGAGGAAGCCTGAGTGTAGACACGTGGCCATTTGGAGCAGGAATGTTAATGCTTACTATTTTAGATGTAGTTTTGAAAACACAAAATCTGTCATGCAAATTCTACTTATTTATAACACAAATGACAGAATTTTAGAAGTGCTGCAGAGTCTATACTATGTGTAAATGCAATGGACCTCGTGGTTTGAATACTACTATGTACACATCTGAACTCTGTACACTATAATCTGTGCAGACACAGATACGGCTTCAGGAAATACTGGAAATTCTTCTAACTCATCTTCAGTTCAGAACCCATACTTAAGTCTCCTCTGGAATACAAAGATTTCCATCTATCACCCTGGGGCGGTGGTCCCTGAATCATTCCAGAGGAACCCTTCTGTCAGAGTGTGTCGAGTAGCTGTTGGACTGAAGTCTATAAAGTCTGCACTGCCTTTGAAAGGCACTAAGTTACTGATGACTACAGCTGGCTTTATATTACAAAAGGTTCAATATAAACTGTCAATATAAATATAATATAATATAAATATAAGTGTCAAAGGGTATTTAAAAAAAATCACTAATTCATTTAAAAACATTAATTCTTAATGTTTTTCAAAGTTTACACTGGTCCAAAATGAAATGCCTTTTAAGTAGATACACTATTCTAGAATAAATTATCTAACACCAGAGAAAAGAAATGAAGCTGGGCATAGTGTCTCATACCTATTATCCCAGTACTTGGAATGCTGAGGCAGGAGGATAGCCATGAGTTTGAGGTTAGCCTATGAGACTCAAGCAAAAACACCCAAGGAATGAAGTACTCCCACAAAGTAGGTGCTTAATAAATATTTGAATTGCAATTTAATGTAAATCTACAACTAGTTTCTATGGGAATTTAAAATGTTAAAAGTTTAAATTGAGTTCCTAAATCAAAACCAATTTTAGCTAGGTATCTATCTATTTGCCCAGCAATTGGGAGGTAAAGGCAGGAGGATCCCAGCCAGCATGGACACAACAAGATCCTGATTTTTAAAAAAAATCTTTAAAAAAATAAAAATCACTTTTTATCTGTTTCTCCTCACCTGCCAATTGTTCTTATATGCAAAAAGTTCTGATTTTGAATTTTCAGGTTAAGAATTCCATCTTCTATTACAATTGCTGCAGATCTTAAAAATCAGCCTATCACTTCTACCAATGGTTCCGGAAAATCCTGCTATTTACTGGGCTAAGAAATACTTACATAGCCAGAGGGTAGTGGCGCTCACCTTTAGTCCCAGCACTCGGGAGGCAGAGCCAGGTGGATCTTAGTTAGTTCGAGGCCAGCCTGGACTACAGAGCAACATCCAGGACAGGTACCAAAAGTACACAGAGAGACCCTGTCTCGAAAAAAACAAACAAACAAACAAAAACCAAAAAACTTACATTACTCCATCTAAATGGGGCGCCATTTCTGGTGGCTCAGGCCTTTGATCCCAGCACTCAGTGGGCAGGGGCAAACGGATCTCTATGAGTTCAATGCCAATCTGGATACAGTGGGCTTCCAGCCCAAGCAAGGGTTCAAGGTGAGGCTCCGTTTCAAAAAACTAAAAATTTAATTTAAAAAATAAAATACAACACCAAGAAGTACCCCTTTGGATGAGGACAGAACCTGGGGCCTCCTATACGTCTGGCATGTGCTTTACAAATGAGTAAATGTAAAGCACATAAATGTGCTTTATGCCTCCAGCCCTTTAAAAAAATTAAATATATTTAAAGGTTTATATTTTATCTTCTTTGTAATCTTATATACTTTTATATACGTATCTATATATCTTTAGTATTCTGGGCACGAACAAATTCTAGGTACTGATAGGGTTAAGGTAAGAAGGTAACAGGTTTGAGGTTACATAGGGAGACTCTGACTCCAAAAAAACATTTCTGAGAGGACCCCAAAGGGTTCAGTAATGTGTCAAAGGAACACATACCAAAAATTCAATCCTTTCCTATCAATCATTCGGTTATGGATAATTTTAGAAAGTATCAAAAAACGTTACTTCCCTTAGGAATCTGCAAAAAGAAAACGAGCTTTTACTTAATTCCCCCCCTCCACCCGACCCGACAATTTCCTCCTTTTAAACACAAATTTGACATTTTCATTCAATTCTGGGTAATTAAGCATACGAAAAGGCCAAAGCCGTAACTCTACACTACGCAATCATAATATAAGTAACTAATTATTAGAACACGTGGACAGTACTTTTTTACAACACTTGTATAGTACTTTTTACGGGGCAGCATTTCTCTAAGCACTGTGACTTCACTTAAACTTCATACTCGCTCAAACACATCGGTCTTGACCACGATTGCCTGAAATCTTCCAATCTCTTTACATTAAGTAAAAACTTTCTAACTGTCCCTTCCCTTGCCTTAATCAAAGGTGGTTCCCCACCCCACCCCCCACGATCTTCTCGATTCTGCTCCTCGCACAGTAAAGTCGACACGAAGGCACACCCCACTTTCACGGAAAAGAGCATACATAACCCGTTACGCAAACCCAAGCCAAAGAGCTACACTTTCCATCCTGATTCCGTGGAGCTCCGCGGGTGACACAGTCCCTCAGCTCCCTTTGGAGGACCTAACGACAGCCCCCTTCCACCAACTTTTCTTGAGAAACAAAATCTCTTACCCGGAGCATGCCTTTTAAACTTAGTGCAATCTCAGATTCGCAGTCACCGTCAAGCCCCGCAAAGGCACAAACACTCCTTCTCCCACGCAAGGATGATCGGAGCAGACCTCGCACACCTCTGGGACCCTCAATCCGCCCCTTCGCCAACTTTCTGCTTGCTACCAGCCGCAGCCCCAGCTCGAATCCCTCAGACAAGTTGGATGTCCCCGCATGCCCGCGTTTTCCTGAGCGCGGGGTGACACCTTTCCCTCCCCCCACGGCCGCCCGCCCGCCCCGCGCGCACAGTTTCCAAAGAACCTGAAACTTCCACTCCACGGTCCCGGGACAGCCAGGGCTGCACTCACATTCTCGTCTCCCGAGAGGTCCGGGTTGCTGTTCTCGTCGCTGCTCAACTTCTGCTTCTTGGCCGCAGGCATGTCTGTTCCCGCCGGCGCTGTCGACACTTCCCTCTCGGACATATTCCTCCGCCTCCCTCCAGGTTCCTGCCGCCTCGGGCGGGGCCTCCGCCACACCGCCGTCAAGCAAGCCCGGCCGGAGCCTGCCGCAAAGCTGCCGGCACCGCCACCTCCGCCGCTCCCCCCACTGTCGCAAATCGCGCCCAGCCGCCGAGGCGGGCGTGCGTGCGACCCCGCCACACTGCTGAAAAAGGGGCGCGCGCGCGCGCGCCCTCCCGCACGGCTTCCTGGCTGCTCCCCGTGCCCTGCTCCCGACGGGCGCTTTTCCCGCCGTCCCCTCGGCACTTTGCACTGAGGCGTCGGGGCCGCGGGCTCAGAGGGCAGGGTTTCCCACGTCCCCCTTCCCCACCGGCGCCTGGCGAAGAGGCGGAACTCAAAGGGCTGCTCCCTCACCCCCTTCCTGGCAAAGACGTTTGGTCCGCAATTGGCTCAATCCTTCGATCTCCGACCCGCTGCAAACGAGCGAAAGTCTGTGGCCTGGATCACACCACCACTGTCCCAGAGGGAGGGGGCAGACACGAGAAGTGGCTTCTTGTCTGGGGTGTCTGTGCCAGAGGTCCTGTGCAGAGTTTGGAGGACGACGTGGTAATATCGGTCACGGGACTCCTCACACCCTGAGCGTTTTCTCTTTTTGAAGGTAGAACATCAAAACCCATAAGTAGTTTCCTGCTGCCACCCCCATCTGGCAGATGGAAGGGGCCCGCCCGGAGGTGCGCATGCGCTGAGGCGTATTCTCGCGCTGGGTTGGGGGAACCGGCCTCCTTCTGGCCCCTCCTCTTCACGGTTCTTGTTTGCTGAACCAGGTAGTCCTCCACCGGTCCCCAAAGCCCTGGGGAGGATCTCAAAACGGTACCAGATCGGTGCCTCCAGACACGCCTACATTTTGGGGCAGATATTTTATCGAGTGAATATTTATTACAACGATTATATTCAACCGGTTGGTGCCACTGTTGGCTGAAGGAAAGCTATATTTTAAATTATATATTTAGATTTAAGTAAAAATACCTGGCGATGCATGATGTATGCCAGTAATCCCAGCATTGTAGAGGCAACAACAGTAGTATCACCTGATCGTTTCAATCTCTAGGTCATTCTGGTCTATGGAGCAAGTTCCAAGCCAACCGAGGGCTATTTATTAGAAAAATCTGTCCGAAAAAAAAAAAAATCTTAAAATTACATGGTTCGGCCAGGTGTGGTGGCTCATCCTTTGATCCCGGTACTAGGGTGACAGAGGCAGGTGGATTGCAGAGTTGAGTCCAGCTTGGTCTACACAAGGAGTTGTAACCAGAGCTGCCGTAATAGATCCTGTCTCCAAAAATAAATAAATAAAAATAAGAAATAAAATTACATGATTCTAAATTACCATGATTTATAGTCAAAATGTTGTTTGCAGCTGTTGAAAACTGAGGTCCTAGGAAACTGATAAGGCCTATGAATCAGTGTGAGCCACCGTATGTTTGTGAGACTTAGGCAAAAGGCAATTTTTTTATATAGGAAAAGGTAAAATTGTTGGTTGACTGAAGTATTTGCCTGTATCACATAAAACCTTTTTCTTTAGTTTTTCATTTTCATATTTTTTATGTGTATGAGTGTTTCGCGCTCATGTATGTCTGCACCACATGTGTGCCTGATGCAGGTGGAGGTCAGATGGAGTGTTGGGTCATTGAGACAGAGTTACTAATGGTTGTGAGCCACCCTGTGTGGGTCCTCTGGAAGAATAGCGGGTAATCTTAACCAGGGGTCATCTCACCAGCCCCCTCAGGTACAATCTAGACAGGCGGGTGACAATAGCTTTGTGAGCCTTGTGGGTTGGGTGGGCGCATCATTAGGCATGTAATGACTGAATGAGAAGCTTCCTCCCACCTCAGTTTTAGGACAGAATTTTACATCTGTTTATCTGTAAAATGAAGAGGTAGAGAAGGACCACCATTTGCTGGGTACCTACTTAATCGTGTAGATATTTCCCCTTAGACCTTGTTGCATCTCCCAAAGGACTGCACCACCCATTACCTACCAGTTTACTTAAAGACTTCATCATGTAAACAGTGAACACATCAGTTTCATTATCTGGAGGACTCTTCCTTTTCGAGATGAGAACTCTTGGCTGATTTGTATGAGAAAAGGAACAATGACATCCAGGAGTCACTCCCTCCCTGGCAATTTTTACTGCTTATATAACCCTGGTAGGAGCTTATGACTTGTTTCAGGGACTTCATGAGCCTTAGAAGTCTTTATTTACTTCTGGAGTAATGCCTTGTAAGTTTTGATTACTTGCTGGACCATGTAAGTTTTATGCACTGCATTATAAATTTAGTCTTCCCACCAGGAGGGAATGTTTCAGCTAAAAAGAGATCCCTGGGGCTGGAGAGAAGGCTCGGGGTGTGAGAGACCAATTCCAAAGTATTCAAAGCCCTCTTCTGGCCTCCTGGAATGCACATGGTGCACAGACAGACAGACATTTGGGCAAAACTCCCATACACATAGAATAATTTAAAAAACTAAAAAAGAAATGACTATGTAACAATTTGGAAAAATAGCTGAAATGCTCTTTATGTGCTGTTTATGATAATTTTAGGTGGAACATGCCATAAAGGGAAAAATGAGACTGGCTGGGTACACCTTCAAAAATCCTAATCTTCTAGCAAAAAAGAAAGAGGTGTTGGGCAAGGGTGATTGTTCAGTGGCTGAGAGCACTTACAGAACTTGAAGACTTGAGTTTGAATCCCTTCTAGCTAGTGACACGAGCACAGGCATGATGTAACCAGTGCTGTGGAGGACAGACATGGGGAATGGGGCTTGCTGGCTGCCAGCCAGTTCCAGGTTCAGTGAGAGACCTCATCTCAAGGGGCTAGTAAGGCATAGAGTGATAGGACAGACACCTTGTGTCTTCCTCTGGCTCCCAGCAATGCATACACTTTTAGTTTTAGCATTGAGAAGATAGACAAGTTGTAATTTTACTTACACACACACACCACTTCGTCATTGTTTTGAGACAAATTCTCACTATCTAGACCAGATTGGCTTTGAACTCATGGAGATCTACCTGCCAAGTGCTGGGATTAAAGGTATGCACCACCACCATGCCCAGCACTTAAAACAAAAACAAACCTGTTTCATACATAAGCATGGTAGCACATGCTTATGCTATAATCCTAGCACTCGGGAGGATAGGAGGATCAGGTGTTCATGTAACCTGCCTGGGCTACAGGATACCCTGTCTCAAATAAATAATAAATTAATGAAAGCTAGCAAGCAGTGGGGTAGGGGGCGGGGGTTGGGGTTGTGAGGTTGTGGCGCACACCTCTAATCCCATGAGAGGCAGAGGCAGGTAGATCTCTGTGAGTTGGAGGCCAGCCTGGGCTACAGAGTGAGTTCCAGGACAGGCTCCAAAGCTACACAGAGAAACCCTGTCTCTAAAAACAAAACAAAACAAAACAAAACAAAACAAAACAAAACAAAACAAAACAAGAAAAAAGAAAGATCCCAGTAGTTTATAGAACGTCAAAGTCTTTGCAAGAGTGTATTGGACAAAGACCTAACCAACCCATCTTGAACTCGGGGGACGCCCTGGATGTCCTTGGTGTCACTAAGATAGGGAAGACAGAAGACGTGGGTGAAAATCTTTCATTTCAGTGTTGAGAAGATGAATTGTAATTTTGCTTCATAAGTTCAAACAGTCAGCAGTGATCGCTCCCTGATTTAAGGAAGGATTGGCTCAAACAATAGAGGTAATTCCAATGTCTTAGTCTTTCAGAAGAAGTTCGTGTAAGCTAAATGAGACCATTTATGTGAAAGAGCTTAAACATCATTTCTGGAACAGTTGCTGAAATGTAAACTTTGAATTTTGAAACAAAAGTTCACCTTGCTTTACAGTTATCAGTATTAATGTTATGAGTAAGATTTTATCTGTATATGTTTATTTTCCCCTCGTCGGCAGGAGGAAAAAGATGCAGGGAAAACATTTTGGTCGAAAGTGACTTTGAGATGCAAGATGTGCTTTTCAAATGTATCAAACCCAGCACAATCCCTATTTTAAGATACTAGGACAAAAAGGACCCAGAAAGTTGTGTCCAGAGGTCATACGCACTCAAGGTTTGTTGCATAATTTATCTAATTTAATCTTTAATTTTTTATAATATCATTTTATTTCTAGGTAAGGAAGCTGAGGCAAAGAAATCAAACAGTTCCAAGTCACAAAGGTGGTCTGAATCCACACAGTTTAACTCTGGGGCCTGTTCCTTTCCCAGGTTTCCCAGTGGAGAACCATATGGCTCCCCACTAAGCTGCCAATATGTCCGTCTTTCCTTTCATCCACTTCCTCTCTTGCTGATGATCTAGCCAATGGTCCATCACAAATGCCAGGCAGGCACTGTACCATTGAGCCACATCCCCATCATATCTACCTCTCTTTCTGTTTCTCTGTCTTTCTGGTTGTAAGCATGCATGGGTTAGAGTTCAAGTAAGAGAAAAGGTTGTTGTAACTTTAAAAGCACTCATAATAATTTTCAAATAGCCTAATTCTCAGAGGCTGGGGAGAGCAGTTAAGAGCACTGGGTGATCTTCCAGAGGTCATAAGTTCAATTCCCAGCAACCACATGGTGGCTCACAACCATCTATAATGGAATCTGATGCCCTCTTCTGTCATACAGGCACACATGCAAATAGAACATTCATATACAAAAATAAATAAATCTTTTTTTAAAAAAATAGCCCAATTCTCCTTTATTCACTGAAGGTCAAAACACCTCCATGCCTAATGTTAATTTTAAGAAATAAATACATTGCTTTTTATAGACAAAATCCTAGCCAAGAATTAGTGGCACATGCCTTTAATCCCAATACTCAGAAGGCAGAGGAAGGTGGATCTCTGGCCAGCCTGGTCTACAGAATGAGTTCTAGGAAAGCCAGGGATACACAGAGAAACCCTGTCTTGAAAAACCAAAGGAAAAAGACAAAAAAAAAAAAAAAAAAAAAAAAAAAAAAAAAAAAAAAAAAAAAAAAAAAAAAAAAGCAAGCAAGCAAACAAGCCACTGTTCCTTAACAAAGTTAACATCCAACAGGTGGTGAGACCACCTGCTATTGGCTATTAACTTTACAGC